AACTTCTGATAATGAAAAGTGCTATGAAGAAAGAAATACTATGTTCTGACAGAAGGAGACATCTCATTTTTAAAAGTCTGATTTTAATGAAATGTAAGACACACAATTATTAAATCTTCTATCAAACAAAATGATTCCACCTATTTCTGAGACTGCAGTGGATTAGTGTTTACCAATTTACCTATATAACTAATACAAATTTCTCACTGTTTCATTTTTAAGGAATTCTGTATTTCTATCTATATTCTTTGGCTTTACAATAAGGAAATAGTCCCTATTCAACAATGTTTTAGAACTTACAACAGATTCCTGTCAAAACTGTCACTATTACCTCCAGGCCTTGTCCAGACTAATAAAAATTCCTAGGCATTACCTTTTATTGCTAACTCTATCCAGGTCTCATAGCACACTCAATTTCAGAGATCCTTCCATCTAAATACTGTTGCTAGATACAATAAATAAATAGCCAATAAACTAGGGAATAAGGATAATAAAAAGAGGTCCCTAACCCTATCATAACATGACCTTAAAAAATTTTACTGTTTATTTATTTTTGAGAGACAGAGCACAAGTAGGGAAGGGGCAGAGCGAGAGAAGGAGACACAGAATCTGAAACAGGTTCCAAGCTCTGAGCTGTCAGCACAGAGCCCAAAGCGGGGCTCGAACTCATGAACCAAGGCGCCCTTTCACAACATGGCTTTAAATAAAGTGGGGTACCTAGCTGGCTCAGTGGGTAGAGCATGCGACTCTTAATCTAAAGGTCATAATCTCACTGTCAACCACAGTGGTGTAGAGACTACTTAAAAAAATAAAAAAATAAATAATAAATGAATACATAAAGTGGAGTCTAGGGCTCATGGCTATTGATCAGCTGTTCTAATTCCATGGGTTCCTAGACCATTCTACAGCCCTCCGAGGTTCTTTTCACCCTATAAATCACAGAAAGTCCCTCCCCCATGCTATTGGCCTTAAATTCTACTGTGCCAAAGAAAGATTTTGCACTAGTCCAGAAAATATGTCACATAAATTTTTCCTCACAGATTAAAGCATCACAAGACAGAGTAGTTATTCAAAAAGATATTTAGAGGTTCTCCTTTTGTTTTTGGTGGAGCACAGGTCCATGAGAAATAAGATATTTCCATTATCAGTCAAAACATCTTAGCTCAAATTACTGTAGCGAATCATTTATAGGTCTGACAGCATTGAGACATGGGGAAAGGAGCATACAAATGCAGAGGAGGGAAAATAAATGTAGGATGGCTGAATACAAATGGCAAATTTTACAGACTTTGTTATTCTGCTCAAGGTTTGCCAAGATCACAGCCTGGATATTATGGAGAAGACAAGGTAGAAAGGAAAGAATATCCAGAATATGAAACTCATCAGATCAAAACTATGCCTCACTCCCAAATCCCCGGGGCCATTTTATAGTATCAAGTCTGGAGAAATGCACCTCATCATTTTCACTCCTTCTCCACTCAGAGGTAGGAAGCTGTTACAAAGGTAACACTGTTACAATACTACATATCTATTAATAAACCCTAAGACATTGTTACATAGCTATTAAAAATATATATCAACAACTTAACTTCTGCTAATCCTTACTACCAATTTAATAGATTCCAAACTTATTCTAATCCAAAAATATTAGATATAATTTTAACATTAAAAATAATCAGGGAATTTTTATTTATCCTTCAAAATTATACATCCATAAGGAGGAGGGCATGGAAGGGACGAATCATCCCAATTGTCTGTATCTGAATCTTTAGCTGTATCAATCCTTATAAATTTATCCTTGTAGAATGAACAGTCTTAGAAGCACACAAGGCAAACTTAAATTTACCATCTGATATCTCTATATTGCTTAAAATTTTACCATGTATTAATATTAATTTTTTAATTTACTTCATTTTTAAATTAAAAATAATATGAAAAAATGAACACACATATGTAAAACATACTTGTTATTTAACTATTTGGATTCACTACACTAAGCATTAATACAACTGCTTTATAACCAAA